GAAACAGTTACAGAGCTGTTATGTTTTCTATTTTTTCTGCTGATTAAGTAGGTTTTTCACTGCAATACAGTTACTGAAGAAAAACCGCAGAATATTTTAAAAAGCGCCAAGTCTCTTATCTGTTCTGTAATTGCAAATAACTTGAAAAATGTCTCTAAGAAATAAATACATGTGGAAGATTATTGGAGGATATTGAACTACTACTAAGTATGAGAGACAGAGAAATCCCAAAGACTTGCCAGCCCTAGACTGTCATTCTGCCACCCAGAAAAAGACCTTAATTGCAACAGATGAGAATATAATGGACATACAGAACAATTAAATACAATTGCCAGTCAGATGTCCTGTTTATGGGAAATAAAGTTAGGTTACTGTATTCATAATTGTTTAATTAAGATTGAGACGAAAGGAAGGAGTGTTTCAGGTCTGCTAATGATACAAGTAGTTGTCACTGTGTTAGAAAATCACAGAGAAGAGCAAATCATGTAACGGTGTAATCACGTAAACACTAAACCCTCAAATTTCACAACTTAATCTTGTTTTGCATCAGTGTGGTCATTACTGAAACAGCATCCATTTCTACACCACGGGAAGTGGTATTGAAGAGCTGTCACATAAACTGAAAGCCCAGGGATCATGTTTGCCGACTTAGGGAAAGCATCTGATATAGTGTGCAACTGCCTACTCAGGGGAAAATCTGAGAAATTCTTGAATTCAGCTGGCATATGTAGACCTGATAATTTGTAAGTGATACACTGAACCCAGAATGTGCAGTTACATTTCTTTTCTGGGTTATAAAGGAAAGCAAAGCAAATATGTTTCTTTCAGTGGAGATGATGGATGTGGGGGATGGGGAAATAGCCATTTGGAGAGTGTAACTTGTGCCCTGGGAACCTGTCTGTCTTGTCAGCTGTGATCACAGCTCTGAGATTGCTGGCTGTCTCTGGTGGGATCACTTTCCACAAAGACCCAGACAGCTTTGCTCAGTTGTGACTAAAAAGAAGGTTTCTGGTTGGTTTGTTTGTTTTCTTTATAGCTCATGCCTTTGTTACCTTGAAACTGTCCTGTGATATTATCTTGGAATGCTTTTATGTTTATTGAAAATCATTACTTTTGCAAATGAATGTTGTTGGTGTCAGTTAATTTATTTTGCTGAAAGTATCTTAGTCAGGTGAAATCAGCTGTTTAAGTCTCAAACAGCCATACATGACTTGAGAATTGCCTCTCTGGCATCTCTGCCCAGCTAGTCCTGCCCTTCTGCCTCGTATTTGAAACAAGTGTAAATCCCAATTTCCAGCTCTCTCGAGAAGCATTGGAAACATTCCTTGATATGAAAGAAGAGATAACAGCTGGGAAGCAAGCATGGGAATCACCTCTGGAGATGAGCTTCCCTGTTCAGAATACACCTTTCCTGTACTGTAATGAACTGGAGTAGTTTGCACGTGTCTAATGGTGCAGAGTTTCTATTGCTTTAGACGTGACTGTGGTTGCATGATTGACAGTGTTCGCACTACTAAATGCATAAAGTTTTGTTACATGTCCGTAATACAGGGTAAGATTGATACAGCAGAAACTTCGTTGCTGCTTGGTAGATCTCGCTTTCCCCATGGCCTTCCTTAATTTATTGCCTCTGCGTTAAAAAAAAACTTGAAGATGTTAGAAACAAGAAGAAAGAAGAATGTCTTGGCTGGACATTTAGTTGTTTCATTTAAAAAAGAAGGGAGAGAGGGAGCATTAAAATTCTCAGAAAGTGTCAACTTACTGTGAAATATAATATCCTTAAAACAATGTTGAAAGTTCGAGAATTTAATTAGTTAAGCATATTGTTGTTTTTCTCATGGACGTGGCCTGGATTTTTAGGTGATCAAACCGACTACGTCTATCTTCTGTTTTTCCTAGTACATATTTTACTTAGCGTTCTGGAGAAGGAACTCTAACCATGCAGCTGTGTTGTAGGTCATTCATTTGTGATAAACCGTTCATGTGGCCACTGTTGTCTTCACTGCCCATATTGCTCCTCTTCAGTCCACTCAGATTTCTGTACAAAGGATACTCATTACTGCTCCAGTCATGTACCTTTCCCCCTTCCACTTTTCCATTCTTTTCTCTGGCTTCCTTTTATCTTCTGGTTCTCATCCTCTGAGAACTGCGCTAGTGTTGCAAACCTGGACATTTGTCTGTTATCCTAGGTTTTTTGATATGTGCAACTGCATCCTTTCTCACAGGCACTTCATGTTTTCTGCCTGTCATTTCATGTTGCACACAAGTCCAGTCAGCTGTAATTGCTTAACAAAAATGTATGTGCTTATACAAAGCTGAAAGTGTGTTACTACAGAGTTTGCTGACATAACTAAACCTTTAAGAATTTTAAGGACTGATTAATTTGTAAAATTTTGTATGGCACATGACTAGTACTCCATAATAGTAGGCACCTCTGCAACAAAAGAAGAGGGACAGTGAGGGAGAAATACGTTATTATTTTAAATTATTTTTACATCTTTATTTAGTCTTTCCATGCTCTCTCCTTCCCGTATCATATTTTTGAATTGTGTACATTAGTTCTGTTGTTTCATGTCTTTCCAGCAAGAAACATTCTGATAACAATTTTTTTGCTAATGATTTGTTAGCAAGATTAGACATCTGTTAAAAATGTTAAGAGGCCAGAGGCCAAACACATTGTTTTCTTTGAAAACTGCAATGAACGTTTGCCAGTATATGTAAAAACTTCTTGCTCAACCTTTTATCATTTTTAGAGCAACCTTCAATCATTTTAGAATATTTGATTTAGTATTACAATTCAGGGTTATATTCCTTTGCAGAATAATATATGGAGGGCAAGCTTGCAGAGCTCAAAGTTAGGAAAACAGTCTTTTTACTGGTAAACTGAGCAAATTTATTTTTAAAGACAACAGAATTGCTGATGCAATCTTACTGTCCCTTTCAGACAAGTCTCGTTTTACATGAAATCCTAAGGCATTGAAGCTGGATAGAGTTGGGCTAAATTTGTTTTGTTGTTTTCATTTTTATGATTTTGGGCAAATAAAGTCTGAGGCTTGGGTATCTGTATGTTGCTGTTGGCCTTTTCTATGGGACAGCTGAAAAAGAGTAAGGACTAGTTGAAGTATAGGTACTTCATTGAGAAGACTTCACAGGGGGTGACATATTTTAAGGTTTAATTCCTGAAAGACACAGTTGAGGGTTATTAGTGGATTTGTAAGTACATTGTAAATAAAATAAGTGTCTTTAACCATAGAAAAATAACAAAACTCCTGAAACATTGTGTGGTTTACTCTCTATCTACATATGTATAGGTGTTTGGGGATTTTACTAGTAAAATATATAAGAAAAAGCACTGGT